TAATAGCCAAAGGGAAATTAAATGTTGCAGTAACCCAGGGGCAGTTTTTCAACAAGATGTTATAGGCATTTATAGCTGTAGGCAGGAAGGATCCTTTCTCTTCATCCATGTGATAAGTCAAACCTAAACAAATATTAAAGGAATTTCAAGAAGAGGTGTCTAGCTATGACTGTATTAAAAAACAATCTTTGGACCTTTAACAAATCTTTTCAATTTTACAAAACTCAAGGATTTCGAGGACCTGTGGAAAACCCAATTTTATTACTGATAAATAGCCTTGGGGACTCTGTGAATGTTTCTAAACCAACTGTTTAAAACCGTTGCTCTGTCAAATCAGCATACAAGCATATAGGTCTTACTTGAACCAGATCTGTAGAAGCCTCTGACAGAAGACACTGTTAATTTTTAACAATCTGATGAAGAGGATGCTCACTTTTTTACACAATGTTCTTTACTTTATGAACAATCTTTCTTAGTGAAATCATCTTCTGAGGTTCTAGAGGGGTTCCTAGAACAGAGCCGGCCTTCTTTACTTTAGAAATATTTGATTTATACTCCATTTGTGTTTCATGGGTTGTGTACTAATGAACTATTATGATGTATTATGTGTGATTCATTGTTTATTAGCTCTTGCTAAAGATCGTTCCAGATAAAGGTCATGCAACGGACGGGTTGTGAAAGAGGCCTGAACATCCTCTATCACATGTTTCTGCAAAACATGTGTTCTTGGAACAATTTCCCTTTCCCTTAGTTAAACCTCAGCTGTGTAATTAGGGACATCCCCTGACTTCAATAAATAGCGAGGAGAAAGCTGAAGAACTGCAGAGTGGGTTGGAGATTTGTAAATTCCGCAGTCTCTTCCTACTTTCCTCGCAAGTAAACTAAATTAATTATCTCTGTGCATTCTTTCTTTCCTTGTATATATGTATGATGTTCTAGGTGCTTAGACCTGACATTACCCCACCCACATGATTGCAGAACCATGCAGAACACACTGCAAAACTTTGCAAACAACTGAAGTTATTATCACTTTTGTCATTGATAGCTTTTAAAGGAACATATCCTGCAAGGCATTCTGGGTTTGACACATCCATATCCCAAACCTAGGAATGTAATTACTTTATGTCACAGCCTTTATTACATGGAGTGTATTTGGTTCTAGTATTGCTGTAAGCAAAGAATAAGCTCTGTAAATAGAAATGTGAAAATACACAGTTTGTATCCACAAATAAATGTTTGAAAACTTTACTGTTTTCTCAGATTTTATTTGGAATTAATTATATTTTTAAATACAGTTTTATACTTAATACTTTTAATTTCATTTTTTTTTTTTATAATTCATTACAGGTTTATTATGTTTAAAAAAATTGTAAATCTTTTTACATATTTTAAATTTAAATTCTGAAATTGAAAAGAAATGAAAAAAAAAAAATGGCGAGAACAGCCATGTTACTTTAAAAACATTTTTGGGTAAAAATATCTTTCAAAGTTTCATTTTTAGATTGCATTTTTTTTCCAAACTTCCATTAAAAAAACAAACATTTTTTGCTTGAATCAATAATGGAGGAAAATTCATTCCACGTTATCGGCTCCAAAAACAAACGTACTCAAACTAAAAAAAAAAAGACAATGCTGGTTTGTTCTCGAAGGTACTCAGAACTTTTTTCTTTAAAAGATATTTCTTGCAGCAATTTACTGAGAATACTTGCAAGTTAGACATAAACCAAAGTTAAATTGGTTCGAGACCACACTCAGTGGTCAAAATTTATATTTTTACATCCCCACTGGACTTTGTTTCCAAATTTGAAGCAAAACGTCTTCAAACTTGAAAACAAAGTCCAGTGGATTGTTTTTAATTTTCTTTTTTTGGAATGTTCTTTGCCAGCAGATGGCACATATCTGTTTATATCAGCTCCTAATGCGGTAATTCTATTTAGGATCAAATACATTTGATTCTATGAGGGATAAGACTGGAGCAGCACTCGTATTGAGTATGAAAGTTGGTGTTTACTGAGGTGAAAGCTAAAGCTTCTGAGCATGCAACACTATTACAGACCTTATACAAAGAGACACAGGATAACTGCAGTCAATTAGACAGTTAGGGGAAATTGGAGACCAAGAGAAAAACCTTGAATACATGAGAAAGACAGACAAATTCCACTCTAAAAAGTCCCTGCTGTTACTGGAATCCAAGAGATGTAGTCCTAACAACTGCACCAGTGTGAAGCTCCTCTGCAAACTGAAGAAAAATACAACCTCACTGCAAAAGATCTTCAGAAATAAATTAAAGTCATCTGGGAATGTTAAACATGAAATCTAAAAAAAGCAAAACAAAGTGAGACATACCTTCATAGCTGTAGACCACAATGTGGGTGTGTCCAGGTAAGTGTGGATGATCATTTCTGTCACCAATGACAACTGTCAACGTGCTGGTTGAGCTCACTGGAGGAGATCCGCTGTCAATCATGAGAATAGGAAGGCGGTACTCCTTTTGACGCTCACGATCAAAGCTGCGAAGAGCTGTGATAGCCGCACTGCCATTTCGAAAGTCTGTCAAATTAAAGTTGGTGGCGTCGGAGGTGAGCAGGAGGAGCCGGATGGAGAATGGGCTGCCGTTAGTTGAGGTGTCACGGTCGATGGCATGAAGAAGCATGGAGGTTTCATTCATCTGAACAGCCTGTGGCGCTGCTGTGTTCTCCCAAACAATAGGTTTATAGGGAGCCTCGAACTCAGGCCCATTGTCGTTTATATCAAGTACAGTCACCATAACGATGGCGGTGCCAGTTAGGGCTGGTACACCAGCATCTGTAGCAAGAACCATTATCCTGTGCTGGGAGATTTTCTCTCTGTCCAGAGAACTAGCAACTACTACCCAACCAGACTGGTCCACCAGGAACTGATTGTAAGGGTCAGACTCTTTTGAAATGCTGTAAGAGAAACGGCCATTTTGGCCAGAGTCCAGATCAGATGCAGTAACCTGAGTAACAATCGTTCCCACGGGAACGTCTTCAGACATGGCAGCGGACTCATAGAATTGCGGAAAGAAGACGGGAGCATGATCATTGGAGTCTTCAACTTGGACAACACAGTAGGCCAGGCTGTAAAAATCAGCATCTTCGGCCTTCAGGGTCAGATTAAAAGTCCTCTCGTGGTGTTTCTCAAAGTCAACCTTCTTTTTAAGTTTTATCACGCCTCGTCGGTTTACTTTGTCTGTTTCAACAAAGAACTTCCTTTCATCGTCTCCACCGACAATGCTGAACGTAACAACAGCGTTCTCACCCTCGTCTCTATCAGTGGCAGAAACGACGAGAACCTCACTATTTACCTCCAGGTCCTCATTCATCTGGAAGAACACATAAATATACCTCATTTATGACTACTACTGTAAATATTGTGATAGAATGACAGATGTCTATAGTTTACTCACCTGGGTAGAGTAGGCCCTCTGAGTAAAAATAGGTGGGTGGTCATTTACGTCTGAAATCATAATGGTGGCTGTTCCTGTCCCAGACAAACCACCTCCATCCCGGGCCTCCACCACCACCAGATACTTGTCCTCGGTCTCCCGGTCCAGTGAACGCAGGACTGTATAGATAGTCCCTGTAGTGGCGTTTATTGAGAACAGGTCAAGGTTGATCTCATTGCGAATGTTCTTGATGATGCTGTAGGTTAGCAAGGCATTCCGGCCCTCATTTGGGTCATCGAGGTCCATGGCACGCATCTCCATGATGGAGGTGTCTGCTGGTGAGTTTTCAGGCACTTGACCAACAAAACACCCGTCTACCACTAGAGCTGGGCAGGGAAAGAAGGGGGGGTTATCGTTAATGTCTTGGACCTCTAAGAGCACATCGGCGAATCCTGTAAGGCCCATTCCCCCCTCGTCTGTGGCCAGAACAAGGAATCTCCAGGCAGGGCGCTCCTCCCTGTCCAAGCGACGCTGAGCGTAGATTCTTCCGGTATGTTCATCTATAGTGAACTCCCCACCGGCACCCTGGCCATGGAGGGTGTAACGGAGGGCGGTCTGGTCGGCTTCCTGATCAGGATCTGTTGCTGACACCTACAAAAACCAACAGGAATAAGGTGAAACAAAAAAGAAGTTAGTTTGGCCCAATGTGGCTTTTACAATACGTCAAACTTATACAATACGTCAAGCTACAACTAAACAGAGGCAAACCTATAGTTTTCTAGACCAATTGAAGGTAGACAGTTTTCATCTATTTAGGATAGGGCTAAAATAAATTAATCAGATTAATCGTGATTAATCGATTATTGAAATAATCGTCAACTAATTTACTAATTGATTAATCATTAACTTGAGTTTAGAGACTGTAAAATATGCCTTTAGGTGACAGATCAACCAACCCTTGAGCAGTAATTATACCAAATTTGTGAAAAAAATATATAAACATTTTACATTTAAGAAATTCTTTATCCAGAACTCCTCAAGTAGAATCATTTTAGTCTTTTTTTAAGGAACCTTTTTGCTATCTGATTATTAATCAATTAATTGAAAAAATTATCGAAAGATTAACCGATTTGCAAAATAATCGTTAGTTGCAGTCCTAATTAAGAATATATTCAAAGAATCACTTTCATGTCAGCTTTGTTTGCAGTTATTAAATCATACATTTATGACAAGTTCATTCCAGTGTTGAGTCCTCCAATAACAGCCAAAGCGTCCTGCTTTGTTTCATCATAAAGTCACGTTTTCTAAGGAGCCTAGGAACTGGTAGCTGCCGTATTCACATTTGCTACCAGAGAGAAGGATGTTGGAATTGATCAACTGTCCATCCATCAGCCGAGGCAGATGGCAGTTCACAGAGAGGAGGATTATATGGGGCCAGTTTTTCTTTCCACTGTCTCTCCATACATGCTCAGAGTAAGGGATTGATGCAATGCAAACAACTCAATGCAATTTGAAAATTAAAATAAGCCACACTACACTATTTGCCTGTTCAAAACAGATTCTGGACAGAGAAAGCAGATAGTTTGAGAGAAGAAGGGAGCCATGTTTGTTAAAAGAGGAAACCTATTAATGATTGGGGATTAAGGGCTGAGCTACAACTCTGTCCTGAAACTGATGCAAAAGAGGTTAAACAAGCATCACTCATCAGACTGCCGAACAAAAAACTCATACACATCGACAGACTCCAATAACCTGAGAAAATTTTTGGTTTGTATCTGATTTGGAGCGTGTTCTAGATTATCGACCTCCAGGTGCTCAAAAACAACATCGCCCCAACTTCAAATTGCTCTGATGCCAGCCGACAGAACTGAAGTCCTAGCCTCGTGAGACCATCCTGATCTCGCGAGCTTTCAAGCTTTCACTCGCAGATCAGTCTGGCTACTTTCCGTTAAAGAAAATTTGGAGCCGTTCACCAAACGAACGTCCAATCAGCGTTGGCTTTGAGGCGGGTTGAGGTGTGATGCAACGAGAAGCGCGACAGTTCAGTCTAAAGAACATGGCGGCTTCAGCCGATGAAACTAGCGTTAGCGTGTCTATCGAGCAAGTTTTATCGGAATTACAGAGAGTTTCTTCACTGAAAGAAGAGCAAAACACTGCTCTGGAAGGCTTTTCTCAGAGGAAAAGATGTTTTTGCTCTTCTCCCGACTGGTTTCGGCAAGAGTAGCTGTATTTTCAACGGAAGGTTTCCAGATGGATATGCGGAGCAAATCCATCTGGCGGAGTCAGGTTACTGAAGTCCTGGATAAGGTTTGGAAATATCTCCAAAAAGAACTAAAACAGAGTTTGTTTGCCTCTGATTTTAGCCTGTTTGGTGACTGCAACGTTTAATCACACTGGAATGACAGTGACTTTAAATCTGCATAATTTGCCTTAAGATATTTGTAGTAAATTGGCTTAATAAACACAAACCAATCTTAATGATATTCCAAACGGTTCTGCGAAGGTGAAGGATTGCTTTCTGGTGCTTAAAGAGAAACTGTGATGTATGGTCTGTGAGAAAACAGCTGTTAAACCAACTGGACGAGGGGCTCGACGAGCGGTTTATTGGTGCAGGGATAAACTGACAGCACAGGACATGACTGACAGCTGTTAAACCATATTGTGACCAACAACTGAATCTGTCGCCAAATGTTAAAACCATTTTGGTTTGGCAGCTTTCGTTCTAGACTTCACAGCTGTTAAGGAGCGTATGTCAGCTCTTATTCCTGCCAATAATCATTTTATTTTAAAACAGTATTCTAGTAAAATGATGTGCATTTTGAATCTAAATGGACAAAACTAAACTGGCTTACTTACTCTTCAAACCACATGTTCAGCATGATTGTAATATACCTCTAAAGAGTACTCTATTATTTGACCTACTGTATTTCTTTTAACTGTTGTGCACAGTGGCATTTACGGTGACAAACTGGTCAGACGCTCCATTTTGACATTTCTTCCCAATTTAATTAACAAACCGAGCTTCAATAATAACTTTTTCCATCTTCAGTTCTTTGCATGTCACGTATTTCTTATAAAAACAGTTCAATTGGTTTTTTTTTTTTTACTGTGTGGAAATGTCAAGCCCTGCAACTAGGACATGCAGCGGGAAGTGATTGCAGCAGCTGGCCCTGCGCTGCTGGGACTTCACAACACAGGAATAAACATTTCTCTGCTACTTTGTCCTGTTTGCTTAATTAACCTGCCTCCCTGCTATCTCCCTGAGCGAGGGGACAAGAGCAGCGGCAAAGAGACGAGCCCTCACATCTGTCACAGAGACACACAATGCAATTAAAAGTTAATAGACACAGACGAAGGCGAGGCAAAAGTATGCTTTTACCCTTTCTTCTCCCCTTTTGTCACCAGAGGGTTTGTTTACTGAAGCCTTTGAAGTCCTCCCTCCCCATCCTCTCTGCAGCCACCTCCCCTCTGTCGCCTCTTTGCCTTCCCTGACAACGTGATGCAGGTACGAAATATTGAAGATGAGCAGCGGCGGCACCGCAGCGGAGGCAGCCGCACAGGTGAAGTCAGAAAATATTCATTTCAAATTGGATTTTCTCTTCCGTTCGCTATCTCCTGAATTGTATTAGCACACAGGGCTGAGAGTGGCGTGTGATGAAGGGAGGGCCCGTCCATCGAGCGACGGTAAGACTATTGGAAGCGTCGGGGAGGAACCAAACGCACATCAAATCAATTTCAGCAGGCGAGGGGAAGCAGGCCCAGGTTGAGGACTCTGTGACACATGCGCCTCTGTCAGAGATTATTTCTCTTCCCTCCCCGCTTCCACCTTTTTAATCTCATTTAGCTTGGCAGCACATGCAAATTATTGTGAATTAGGGAGATAGGTGTGACGAAAGGTGGAAGGGAACAACGGGAGAAGGAGGTCGAACCTTAACATTTTAGAGGAAACTTTGCAGATGGGTTACTTCACTTTCCTTAGCCTAATATTTCACCTTAAAGCCTCTCTTAGCAGCTTTTGTGTCGAAATCTGTCATACATGTGCTACATGTTAGTGGACTGACACCGAATCTCCGTTGAGGCGTTGCTCCAGGCTTACTTACCTCTCATGTTTTAGCGTATCTAAGGCTATTAGATTTTGCTGTAAAAACCTGATACGTTTTCCCATATTGTTCATATAAACACTCACATTTTAACAATATTGTACATTATGTTGACAATCCAAAATATAAAGTGATCCTCTCTCACTGAATGAATGAACATAGGAAATTAAGTTACGTTTAAACCATTTCATAAACATGTATTACACCATTAACACATACATTCACTCGCTTCCTATAGAGGTATATACTTTATAAGGTCACCGAGAGGATTAAGTGAGTCCCAGAATGCACTGGGAGATAGAGACAGACTCCACTTGTCATTTTATTTACTTTTTATTTAAACTTTCTTATAATTTTTAACAATCAGACTTATTTCCATTATAATTGGAGTGAAACAAACTCAAACCCAGTCAGCTTAGAGGTTTACAGCACTGGAACTAAAGCCATAGTTGGTCTTTTTGTAGAAAATCTCAATCTTTTTTTGTGTTCAAAATGTTTTAAATGCTACATTCATAGTTTACTAATTCAACAAATCATAATCTTAAAGGCACACCTTGTAACTTTTGACCACTAGGGGCGCTACACCTGTAACTGCCCGTATTTTGCCTCTGCTAAACATCTAAAATAATAAAGATGTATGATTGTATACTAGGAGCAAAGTATTAACTTTCCAGCCTAATAATAAAATGGAGAAAAGAGAAATTATTTTAAATCCTGCTTCTTCTTTCAGCCAGCGAATAAACTCCTTTCCAAGATCAACGCTTGTTTTCCCTCATGCACGATCCCTTTCACGTTTTCACTTTTTTCTTCGCCTCTGCCATGACCACAACAAAAAATGCCTTCTAAAAAATAAGAAAAAAATATAGTGTTTTAAGTGAATAATTGCTTATTTTGAGCAAAATAATCTGCCAGTGCAGCAAGCAAATGAGACTTGGTAAGATTTCTTAAAACAAGAACATAATATCCAAGTATTAAGCTTCCAAAAAAACTTAAATCAAGTATAAAAATCTATTTATTTTTAACTTGTAAAGATTTTTTTTCTCTTATTTTAAGCAATGTATTCTCATTTATTAGTCATTATTGCTTAGAATTTAATAATTATTGCTCAAAACAAGCACAAAACAACAGGCTTGAGATGGGGTCAGTTCTTAAAACAGGTTAATATGGATTATCTTATTGCCTTGAAACAAGTAAAAATGTACTCACAGTCTAAATGTTAACGCGACTCAGTCCGCAATGTGTGCTATTTTAAGAAAAAGGCTGCTCAGAATTAGTTTTAGTATCTAGTTACGATGAAAAAAATGAATTTTCTTAAATCAAGTCAAATAATCTTAACAATATTCAGTCTTACTAAGAAAATACATTGAAAAACAAGTGTAATAAGACCAAAATGCTGAATTCAAGTTTATTACACTTGTATAGATTTTCCTTTTTTGCATTGAGTAGTTGAGCAGGCAGAAATACTAGAAGAAAAGCCTTAGCTCCATGACTATATAAGAGCCTGTGGCCGTTGAGCCATACGTTTTTCCAGGTCGAATGATCTGTCCAACAACGGTGTGTCATCTCCCAACTTGCATTGGCGGTATTTCAAGAGGCTAGCCCCACTTGTAGCATTGATACTGACATATATAAGGAAGTCATTAAATATAACTCATATGCGTCAACTCTTTGGATCACACAGACCATGTGCCTTTAATGAAAACTTTGCATTTTCATTTTTCATTTCTATAAGTAATCATGATGAACAGCCAGTCAGACTATGAATGTGTGATGCATGCCAGTTGGAACTGTAATCCGACTGGAAAGGGATCCAGTTGTTCTGAATGAGGTAAGCTGACCTGAGAGCGTGTGTGCCCTGCGTCAACGTGGCGTATTTCCTCTTTGAGCAGCTAGATGCTAGCCTCGTGAGACCATCCTGATCTCGCGAGCTTTCAAGGTTTCACTCGCAGATCAG